GAGCGTGGCGGCGTGGGCGTGCGGCGATCCGGCCCGGCAAACTAAGTGGGCTGGCCGCGCGTGAAGACGCGGGGGGCGGACGGAGGGCGCGGCCGCGGCGTGCGGCGCGAGCTGGAGAAAGAGGTGCGGCCGCGCGTTTTGTTTCTTCCGCGCTCCTCGTGAATTTTGAACGCGGAGGAAGACGGTGCCGCCACCGGCCCCGCTAACCGACGGAAAGCTCCAGGCCTGCGGTATTCGGGCTAGTAGGCGGGCAGGGGTTGGGGGAGGGGAGGGCGTCGAGCGGTCCGGGAAAGGCGGCGACAGGAGGGTGGTCGATGCCGGTCAGCGAGGCCGTACAATAGACCGCCCGGCGTTCAGGCGGGTGGGCGTCAGGCGGCGGGCGTTCAGCGCGGACGGGCAATTCAGGAGGGCTGCGCTTCAGGCGGGTGGGCGATCAGGCGGGCGGGCGTTCAGGCCGGCGGGGAATTCAGCGGACGGGCGTTACAACAAGCACAGGGGGTTTCAGTCGGGCAGGCCATTTAGACGGGCGGGAGATTCTGGCGTGTGGGCGTTCAGGCGAGCGGGCGATCAGGTAGGTGGGCGATCAGGCGGGCGGGCGGGCGTTCAGGCGGGCGGGGTTGGCGTGTGGTCGTTCAGGCGGGCGAGGGTTAGGAGTGAGGCGTGGATCTAGCGGGTAGGCGGGGGGGGGGGGGGGGCGTGGCGTTTGGCCACCCGCCGCCGGCTGCAATTATGTTACGGTCGCCTCAGATCGATCATCGCCGCGAGCGGAGGCGCGCGAAGAGCGGTGGGCGGATTTCAGAGCTGTCGCGCGAAGAGGACGTGCGGGGTGGATCCAAGCAAAGTTTTGTCGCTAACTGTAAAAGACAGACTAACATAAACCGCTAATCGACTATCGATTTCATTACTCGTACGAGTGCTATGGCCAGTACAGACATACACTTACATTGGAAGCGTTATGCTAAAATACTCTACATATACGCAGGTACACACAGCACAACTGAAAAATGATGTCTACTATTTTGGGATGCTGTGCTACTATCTGCGTTGTTACAAGTAAATTAAAAGCGTGAAGAATTTTAAACATCAAATTAGACCCGCTAAAGCATATTATGACGTAAATAAAATAATAAGAAATTACGCATCTTTATTAAAGTTACTTTGCTGCGATGGTTTCTTAGTAGCAATAACTCAAATTTGCCTTTTTTACCCCCCCATACACACACACCTCAACACACCCTAACCACACACACACCGATCGCAACGCTGTTTTTAATCTACTTAATCGATTTTCCGCCATTACGTCTTCTAATAATGATCGTGAGCACGAGATGTTCGGGTTCTCTTTGATGAAAGAATGAAGTTCTTCAACGCTTTCGTAAGTGATTGGTGGGCAAGGTTTTCGTTGAAGCGTAGCGCGTCGTTGAAGCTACTCTGAACGATTCGAATGTTAATGCAACATTGCGAGGAACCGTTATGGTCAAGGAAAAAGCTAAAATGTCTAGTTAAACACTTATGCCCAGTTGTATGTTAACCACATTCATTGTTATTGCAACATGTTACTGTTTCTCCCGTGGTGGATGCTTTATCTCGTTATGCCAATGCTTTATCTCGTTCAGACTATCTTATGTTTGTTTGGTAAACCGGGAATTGTTTTCGAAATAATGAAATAAGATCTCTAACGAGATCTTTACATAACTATTTTGTGTGGTATGTTACGCATTAGCATATGATGTGGCATTTCCTCAAATAATATTTAAAAGTGGCTGAGATAAAAAGGTGACCTTATAAAAAAAAAAAAAAATAAACGATTAATTATACTTAAAAGTTCTTTAACAGTTTTAACTGGCTTTAATTTTCTGTTTTACTGAATGGGCAATAAAGGGATTGTGGTCTCATGCAATACCTTCTAAGAGTACCTATTTTATTCTACTATGGCTGACGAATAGTGGATGGAATACTGTAACAGAATGATTCACAATTACAAGAAGCGGTTAGTAATATTTGCGAGTAGATGTGAATCAGCGAAATCCATCACACTTCTCGTTAGTTACCGTATGCTATATTATTTTCCTTGCAACATTCGAAATAAGTTTTATTTATTAATTTATTTTCTTGAACTGAATCATGAGAGACTACGCAATTTGCATTATTTTACACTTAATATCTATCTATATATATATATATATATATATATATATATAAATAATAATTAAACAATAGTTTCAATAAATTCTTGACTATGCGGTAGACTCCACGTCGCTCTCAGCCAACGACGCAGCGTCTCCCGGACTGCCAAGAATCTTGAATCATATATATATATATATATATATATATATATAAGTGTAAAATAATGCAAATTGCAGTAGTCTCTCATGACTTCAGTTCAAGAAAATAAATAAATAAATAAAACTTATTTCGAATGGTTCAAGGAAAATAATAGTAGGCATACGGTAACTAACGAGAAGTGTGATGGATTTCGTGATCACATCTACTTCGCAATATCACTAACCGCTCTTGTAATTTGTGAATCATTCTGGTTACAATATTCCATCCACCATTCGTCAGCATAGTAGAATAAAAATAGCGTACTCTTAGAAGGTATTGATGAGGACACAATCCCTTATTGCCATTCAGTAAAACAGAAACATTAAAGCAGTAAAACTGTTAAAGGAACTTTTAAGTATAATTATCGTTGTATTATAAGTCACCTTTTATCTCAGCCACTTTTAAATATTATTGAGGAAATGCCACATCATATGCTAATGCGTAACATACCACACAAAATAGTTGATGTAAAGATCTCGTTTAGAAGATCTTATTTCATTATTTCGAAACAATTCCCGTTTACCAAACAAACATAAGAATAGTCTGAACGAGATAAAGCATTGCATAACGAGATAAAGCATCCACCACGGAGAAACAGTAACATGTTGCAATAACAATGAATGTGGTTAACAGACAACTGGGCATAAGTGTTTAACTATACATTTTAGCTTTTTCCTTGACCATAACGTTCCTCGCATGTTGCATTAACATTCGAATCGTTCAGATAGCTTCAACGACGCGGCTACGCCTTCAACGAAACCTGCACCAATCACTTAACGAAAGCGTGAAAACTTCATTCTTTCATCAAATGAGAACCACGAACATCTCGTGCTCACGATCATTATTAGAAGACGTAATGGGAAATCATTAAGTAGATTAAAAACAGCGTTGCGATCGGTGTGTGTGTGTGTACGTGTGTGTTGAGGTGTGTGTGTATGGGGGGGGGGTAAAAAGGCAAATTTGAAGTTATTGCTACTAGAAACATCGCAGCAAAGTAAACTTGTAATAAAGATGCGTAATTCTTATTATTTTATTTACGTTCATAATATGCTTTTAGCGGGTCTAATTTGATGTTAAAATTCTTCACGCTTTTAATGTTACTTTGTAACAACGCAGCATAGTAGCACAGCATCCCAAAATATTAGACATCATTAAGTTGTTGCTGTGTTTACCTGGTATATGTAGAGTATTTTAGCATAACGCTTCCAATGTAAGGTGTATGTCTGTACTGGCCATAGCAGCTCGTACGGTAATGAAATCGAATAGTCGATTACGGTTTATGTTAGTCTGTCTTTTACAGTTAGCGAAAACTTTGCTTGATCCAACTCCGCAAGTCTCTCGCGCGAACGGCTCTGAAATCCGCCCACCGCTCTCTCCGCGCTCTCCGCTCGCGGCGATGATCGATCTGAAGGCGACCGTAACACTAATTGCAGCCGCGCGGCGGGTGGCCAAACGCAAGCCCCCGCCCCGCCCGCCCGCCTACCCGCTAGATCCACGCCTCCACTCCTAGAACCCCGCCCGCCTGAACGACCACGCGAACGCCAACCCGGCCCCCGCCCGGCCTGATCGCCCGCCACTGATCGGCCTGCCCGCATACGCGCCTGATCGCCCACCTACCTGATCGCCTGCTCGCCTGAACGCCCACACGCCAGAATCTCCCGCCCGTCTAAATGCTGCCCGACTGAACCCCGCTTGTCGAACGCCGTCCCCCTGATTCGCGGCTAACGCCCGGCCTGCCCGCGTGAATTCCCCGCCGGCCTGAACGCCCGCCCTGACGCTCGCGCTAATGCCGCCCAACGCCGCCCTGAACGCGCCCGAAGCCTGCCCTGCCCACCGCTGAACATCTGATCCACGTCCGCGCTGAACGCCGCCGCCTGAGCGCCCACCCGCCTGAAACGCCGGGCGGTCTATTGTAGCCTCGCTGACGGATCGACCACCCCTCCTTCCGCCGCCTTTCCCAGACCGTCGAACGCCCTCCCCCCACCCAACCCTGCCCGCCTACTAGCCCGAATACCCGCAGGCCTGGAGCTTTCCGTCGGTTAGCGGGGCCGGTGGCGGCACCGTCTTCCTCCGCGTTCATAATTCACGAGGAGCGCGGAAGAACAAAACGGCGCGGCGCCGCCCTCTTTTCCACTCGCCCAGCATCGCCGCCCGCGCCTCCGTCCGCCCCCCGACGTCTTCACGCGTCGGCCAGCCACTTAGTTGCCGGGCCGGATCGCCGCACGCTCCACCCGCCCACGCTCCACGCGCCGCGTTAAACGTGCGGGAGTGGCCGCAGCGAAGCCTGTCGTGGGAAGACGGCTGAGGCCTCGCAAAAAAGGATCAAGCGGTTTTTATTGAACGGGATCAGCAAACCGGCTTTTTGCGGTAACGACGGATCGTGTGAAATATCTCGAGTTGCGTTTATCTGCACGGCTCTATTGTCGTTTCTTCTTGGAAACAGAATTGTTTTTTCCCTGAAATATTGGATGCATATTAAATACTTGAGTTCGTAATCAAATTTTTCTCTTTGCAGTTTAGTAATGATTTTGTCACAAGTCTTGTTTGTGTTAATTTTCCCGTCTGCATCTGGACTGAGACCAAAAATGAGTTCATCCTCTTCCACGCTCAGACCTTCTGAGGCAGCCGTGGGACTCCTGAGGGCACATACAAACAAAATGTAAATAAATGGATTAATGCGGCGGCCGCGGCGTTCGTGTGGCACCAGCCCGTCGCCTGTTAATTCGTTACGGGACACTGGTATTTTTATCAACGGTAACGAACGCACGCGTTCCTTCGAGGCCAACGCCGACGGTGGCCAGGCACAGTGGAGGGAAGATGGCGAGGCGGTGTGCGAAGAAACCCCGGGGGGGCGAAGGGAATTGGGGCGGGGGAGAGGCGAAGGGAGTTGTGGAGGAGGCGGGAATGGCGGCCGGTTGGCGTGGACGGAGAGGGCGAAAGTGAACCGGCGGCGTGGGGGCGATGGCGGTGGAGGGGGTTTGGGGCGATGGATGAAGGGTCGGAATGAACGGCGTTGGAGGCGAGGTGAAGGCGGCGGCAGCGGAGGAGGCAACGGCGTGGAGGAGCGCGGGGGGCGATGTCAGAGGAGTAGGAATGGCGGCGGGGGTGGAAGAGGGAGAGTGGAGGTGGCGGATGGCAGTGGAAACTGCTGGGGTGATTGGCGCCGGGGATGGAGCGAGACGAGGTGCATACCGGCAGCGGGCGACGAGGATGGAGTGGAGTGGCTTAGATGGCATGTGCGCGGGGGCGATGGCGAGGGGGCGGCCCGGGGGCCCATGGTGCGGGGCGGGGCGGCTGCGTTCTCGGTGTCAGTCCCGGAAGCGCTGCGCCGCTCCGCGCCACTGTTAATTGCGGCGTCTTTTTCACAGCCGCTCGCGAGGATTCGCACGCCGCCGCAGGCAGCCCTTACAATGTCGGCCGCCGCCCAGCGGAGGTGTGCTCTCCAGAGTACGTCACGAACGTGCACGCTTACACACACACACGCGCACGCGCATTTCAAATTGCACGTCTGCAACAGTACGTCGTAGAAGCGTGCGGGCTGTTTATGTGAGGCGTATCTCCCCTCGAGGGACGGGGCGTTTCTGTTCTTTTCGGAAACGCCGCCTTCTAGAATGAGGAAGCGAGTGCGGCAGAATGGTTTTATTGTGTGGGTATCTTGTGGCCTGGGGCTCTGCAGTCTTGAGAGCTGCTGTTGAAGCTTTACTTTAAATAAGAAAGTCGAGAGATCGGCAGCTGAGAAAGTTAAATGTATCAAAGCCCTCCATTAATAACACTTTCGAATTTATAGTAAACCTATTACGCGCATTATCTGGAGCAAGTAAAAAAGGACAAAAATTACTCAAAATGACAACATCACGTCTATCGTGTCTTTCTGAAGATCATTACCGTCCTTTTGTGATTCTTTGGATGGAATACAAGAACAATGTTTATGTAACCCCTCTGAACTCTTAAATACTAGAGTGTATTACCTACATTAACAGCGAGATGCAAGCCTTCTAGAAAGGTTGATTTACGAGTACTCTAAGTATATTTACCAACAGTTTCGTATTCAACAATTGCTCGTGCTCATAATGACGGAAGGGGAAGAAAGAAACAAAGCTCGTTCTAAGCACTCTCATATCTCACTGCATTTTGCGGAATTGCGGAGACAGGCTCTTTGGTGCATTTATGAGAACCACTAGACGGTGGCTAAACAAAACGTGCGCTTCACTCGAGCTGCTGCTAGAACGAACGCAGGGCGTACACGGCATCGCGTTTTAACAGGACCGCCCACCCAAGAGTGCAGAGGAGGCGGATGACAGAGGGAAGAGCGTTCTAAATGTGATTGCAAAATAATCGTTTGGAACAAATAAAATATAGAGTCATGTGAAAAAAATGTATTTGCAGTGTTCGTTTAAGTTGGATTAGTTCACTTATCTGGTTGTATTTAAACGAGAAAGCTTTGATTTCAGGTCAATATCTCACAGTTCACAGAATAAAAGTGTTAATAAAATATTGGAAAAATTATTCTCACAGTGAAAATAATTTGATTTATTCTACTTCTTTCGAATTTCGTTTTATCGGCTTCCAACATTTTTCCTGCAGGGCGAAACTTGCGATTCCCTACGTGAAAATTACAACACAAATTCTTTCGCATAGACACGAAAACATTTAGAAGAATCATTATTTCACGTCTGTAATATTTTTCAAATTGTATTCGATAAATAAATCAGTTTGTAGGATATCGTTCACGATCACATCAAATTATTGAACAATAAATGGCGTTGTTATTTAGATATGTTGTATTTTTTTTACGTATATGTATTTCTTGAAGCACACATACTTTTACAGTGTGTAGTCTGGTCTCATCAGAACTCCTGACATGAAGTTTGTCTTCTTCAGAACTAGTTGTGGTTTTATAGAGATATGAAGAAGGCAGCTCATTCTGTCTGTTCTGTCATAGCTTTTTTAGTTCGCGGAGCCGTCTCGTAACATGAATGGTCAGAGCCTGTCACTTCTTTGTGGAAGTGTCTGAGCGGATGCTATGAATTGTACCAGAAGGAAACAAAAACAGGACAATTACGTCTTTGTAGTCACTTAATCAAAACAATGGCGTAATCATGGGGTCATTCAACTTTCTGTGTAGAGGTTGCAACAGGGCTTCCTTAGTCCGTTGGGCAGCCTTGTTCATCGCGTGTGCCATGACATCTCCCGTCATTTGACTTTTCTGAAACTGCGAATGATTTCGGAACGAACAAAGAAACGAAGTAACTCACAGAAAAAAACATTGTAAGGCTGGCCCCACAGAAAATGTGCCGACCTTTTGATTGTTTCATGCGGTCATTTCCGTGCATACAACGTTGCGAACAATCCGAAACAAAAAAATCTATTTCACAGAACAGAAGACTTCCGTCTGTGGTTGCGAAAGTGAATAAATCATCGCCTTCGCAACTGAAAACAAAACATAATTTTGAGTGGATTTGAAAGGCGACATCGCAATGAAGTTTCTGGAGACAATGACCGACATTATTGCAAATTCCCAACATTATATTCTTCTAAGGTACTTTCGGGTACTTCTATACAAAAACACTTTATTATAAATGGTTATAATGAATTGTTGCTATTATTACCTGAAACTAGTGCACTTGAGAAATGAAATGTTTTTGTAATTAGCAGAGGTAAAAAGAACAATACCTTTTCTTCAGGAGACTTCGATTATATTTTAAATGCGACATGACGTGAACATTTTTGCAAAATTTATGTATCTGGCGACTGGGATATTTCACAATTTCATTGTTTAATAATACTCAATTTTCATGTGCATGTAATATTTTTGGTTGTAAGTATCTTATATACATTTTTTTTAGTATAATACCTTTTAGAATGCTCATTTTGATTCAAGAAAACATGCCTAAAGGAAAAGTTACCCATTTTGTCTGGAGTTCAACAACGTGTGTATATGTTCAGGATACAAGGTTCCCTATTCCGCAATGCGTTATCAGTTATCCATTTCTGACCATCTCTGCTTTGTTTCAGATCTACCCGGACCCCGACTCGGAGAAGGCGATCATGGGCTCCATCGTGTACTGCATCCACCACAAGGAGGGCTGCAAGTGGTCGGACGAGCTGCGGAAGCTGAAGGTAAGGACCGCGGCCGCGTAGCGGTCAGAACTCGGGGCCTCCCTCCTCCCCCACCTCCACTCCCGCCAACAACGGGTCACTCTAGCCACCGCGGCGCCCGCGGGCCGCACGACTTCGCATAATCGGCATTGGGAGCCAGGACGGCGTTCCGGGCGGTGTGTGGAGGGACTCTGAGGAGGGTGAGGGGCGGTGCGCGGGTAAAGCTGGCGGTGGAGGGTGGCGGCCTGGAAGTACGGCGGCGGCTCGGGAGTGGCCGGAGTCGGGTGGCGGCGGAAGCGGGCGGAGGAGGACGGAGTGGGCGGATGGGAGGGCGGGGGTGGGCGGCCGGAAGCGGGTGGGGTGGGCGGGGCGGTTTGGCACGGGCAGGCTAATGTAGAGAGGGGCGGTAGAAGCACATGTAGGAGGACGAGGAAAAGACCGCTGGGGTGGTCCCCATCCAGTAGAGCGCCGCCAGCGCTACAACTGCGAGGAAATGGACGTGGGAGTGGGAGCTGCTGCGGAAACTAGCTGGCGGCGATTCTGCGTTACCGGTTTCTGGAGCAGCCGGGTCAGATAGACCAGGTTCGAGAGATCGATCTGTCTGATTCATACAGCAAAGATTCATAATGAGGATATGGATTATTAAGCCCCTTTAAAACATTGCCAAACAAGTCGTCGCTATTCGAAAAAATGTCTCTTCGAGTTCAGTATTTTCAACTAGTCTGATTCAGAATTTCACGCCCAATGGATAAGTTCCAAATCCTGGAATACATTTTTGTCACACATTCCAAGATGAGTTTAGCAATCATTAAACCATGGTTTGGTGAGTTATATACATTAAAAAAAATTATGATTAAAAGGATCTGTCTTGAGTGAACAAAACGTTTACATCATGTGTGATGAAAGTTTCAGCCCAACTATTAATATACTTCTTTATAAAAAAAATGATCCGATGGAGCCAAGAACTGTTTCACGTTAAAAGGATGGCTCATTTCTTCCAGACCCGGCAGACGACACAAAAATACAGCGTTTGCCTATCGCCGCAAGCCCGCATTTCACAAGAGAAACCGACGACTCTATATCGTAATGCGCCACCTCCATCGCTTGCGCCACCGCAGCTGCAATTCCTTTGATATGAGGCGTCTAACACGGCGCGTTTTAAGGCGCATCTCCCACGGGAGAGTGGCTGAGGCGTCGCCGCGGCTCTTGGCCGCTAGCGTCGCCCGATAACCGCGCGCGACCATTTGGGGGCGACCGACGAAAGCGGCGCCGACACTGCGATAAGCCTCCACCCCACCGGGGGCGGGCAGCGCTGGAAGGAGCGCGGGCCAATCTTCCGAGGCGAAGCGCCTTCAAATGTTTCTCGGGGGCTGGTGTGTTGCGAACGCCATACAGCCTTAATATTTGTTCTTTTGAAATAAAAATTTAAGAAATGTTATAATGTTATACTACTACAGAAAGCACATTTATTATCTTGACATAAATGTATTACCAAACGTTGAGCAGATATGATATAATTATTATCTGTGAAGAATAATTGTATTCCTTTTTAAATAAAACTAAACTGGAAACTCAAGAAAGAGTTAATATGCACAAAAGATTTCGCAAGATAATTTATTATTCTACATAAGAGTATTTACCCTAACAAACGGGCCACGGACTGCACGCGATCGTATTTTCCTCTTCATTGTCCTATTCTCAGCCTCTGTTTATTCACACACTTGCATGAACTACACTACCACAAACTGTCAGGAAACCAGTCGGGAATTTGGAGCTTGTCCGTGGGGCGGTTCCCCGTTGATGGCAGATACCTAGAAGGGAAAACCAAGCTACCCAAAATGTAGGTTGGCAGTAGTTCCCACTATCCAGCGGGGAAGATCACTGTCACTTCCCGACGGGGGAAAATGGACTTTCTGGACCAATAACCTCAGCAGTTGACGCGCCCGGAAACACGAAAAAACCAATGTTCTACGTATTAAAAGAACATTACGAAAGCAAGTCCGCAAGAAACGATGATCAATCCCAATTGAGTGGTCGTGCCAACATTTTTTCACGTGTGCGAAACTTCGATTGAACGAGAAACATTTCGGAAAGAAACGAATCTCGGAAACCCAAACGTTCGACTAGTCTAATCCTAAACTTAATCGAACCTTCACAAAGCGTTTGTAATGAGCCGAGATGATTACGGTTTTTAATCTTTTTTCAAAAGTTCCACATTTTTTTTTCAGTTCCGACCCCTATTGCCTCTTGACCTCCCCCTTTCTCTTCCCCGCGCTCCTTCCCGGGGATGCCCGCGAGGGCGCACCCACATCCGGCCACTGCACTCCGGGCACTAATTCACTCGCTCGCTGCGCATACACTTTGTAGCGAGAACATCAATTCTTCCAGTTTAAGGCGCCCGCTCCTCCGCTTCCAGCTTGTGAGGACTCCCTCTGTAAACGAAATGTTTTTCCCCCGACAAAAAGCGACGCGGGGGCCGTAAATAAACAGTAATGGTTACCCCAGTTGGATCTATTATTGCCCAACGACATGTTATTCCTTATTTATTTATCCTCCGCGGAGGGTAAATGTGTGTTCTTTCACGTTAGTGTTTCGTAGAAAAACACGTTATGCTAAACCGGCCGGCCGCGATTCTCGGATATCTGCGTAATCAGACAACGTCGCTCGTTTAGAAGTCGCCAGCCGGGAAAGTGCAACTGTGCCGCCGTCCGCCGACCGCAGACGCACCGATTATAATCGAATAAAGAACGGAGGCGGTGCTGGCAATGGAACGGACGCGGTGGGGAGTGGATGGCACTTGAATACCGTCCTATTACTTACTTAACCGCTCCCGCCCCCTTTGTCCTGCACGGCCCTCCCGCTGCCGCCGTTGCCACCGCCCCCTGCCTGCCAACCTCGTCCCCTCCCGTTGCCGAGTATTATCCGCGCGCTTTTTCTTCGGCGATTTCGCTAGATGCGAGAGGGTGGGGGTAATTATTTTGCCGACAGGACTATTATGTCAAAACTGCAGCTCGCTTTGGAATTCAAAATAGTTTTTATTACTAATATTTCTGTAATCAGATTTGCTCAACAACGCTCGTTGGTATCATTTAAGCTGAATTCAACACATGTTACGAGTATAGGAATGGGAGTAGGTATTCCGGAGCTCAAGAAAACGTACGCACATCGGCACAGCTTATCTCCATGACCAACACCGACAGCAGCCTCATGTGTCACTTCTACGTGTTCGAACAAGAACAACGTTGTTACCGGCATCACCACTTCCACCGAGACGTCAGCCGTGGCCGCAGCCTCCTCCACCGTCGCTGTTGCTGCCGTCCTCGAGCGTTCGCGAGCATCAACAAGAGCAACTAACATTCCTCAGCCAATTACGACGGCGGTGGCCGTGGGGTGGGGAGGGGGGGCGTTGCGTTGAGGGCAATCGGCCGCGCTGGATGCGCCGCGAGGGGTCGCTCAGAGCTGCCTGGGTGCGCGGCTGCCTCAAGGCTGTGCGGGGGCGGGGGCCACGCCGAGGAACGACGGGAAGCGAAATAAGTGACGTTGAGATGCGTGAGCAGAAGTAAAAGAAGGCACGATATTATCGTTCAATTTTGAAATTTGAGCCTGTCTGCAGCAAATGATATTTGAGGCGTTCAGGCGTGAATAGTGATATCTAACATTTCGAGAGCAATCGAAATTATTCGCCTTTATGAAGGGGACGGAGAGATTCCACGTCGTTTCAAGTACAGACAACGTATCCGTAGAATAATAAGTTATAGCATATGTCGTAGTATGTACAAAGATTCTGCATTTTTTACAAATAGTGTAGTCGGTTACCATTGTTTACATCCGAAGGCCTTATTTATCAAGGATGATGGCCTGAAAGTTGATGTACGCACTCATGCGAACGCTTTGACAAAGTTTACTGCAAGATTGATACGAGTAAACAATGCATCATACGTCTTTGTGATTTTAACGGTATGTATTTTTAAATAAGAATAAATTGTTTTAAGATAACTAACTATATTCTTTGCACGCTGAAAATAGATCTTGGGGTTTTCCGGTCGTCAAAATTCGTAGATTTGTTGAAATATTAAGAGGTCACAAATTCGGCGCTGAGAAACCTAACCCTCTCCCTTCGCACTGACTGGTAAAAAATGAAAGTAAATGCGGTGGTCGATTAGGAGACCAATTGACTACGAACACTCCAAATGTGAGTCATGATACCTGATGTGAGTAGTATGCAGAATTACGTGACGAACGTTTCGAATAATAATACTAGTTACTTTTTTTCAAAAAATATATACTTCTTGAGGTTTTTTCGTATTCTCCGCTTGACTCAACTGCCAAGGAAATTTCAATGACATAGCGACTCTTGATACGTCACTTAAAAAGCGTTCTTCTGCCATCCTTTCACTATTTCATCCAATAAAACGCAACCTTACTTAGTTGGGTGGCTACGTCTCGTTAGACAAGTCGCAGCTAATTCAAACCGCTCGCACGTCACAACACGAGAATAATTGACTGCCTAACGACGAAGCACCGCGAATGCAGTTCGACGGATTCCTCGGTACGAGCTCCCCTCGACCGATCCCTGCCCCCATTAACAAGTCCGCGCGAGGCCTGGAATTACTTTACTCTACGGTGGCTAACGATTCCGTGCGGGCCGCGGCGCATTCCGTTTTTTAATGGGCCATAACGACAAGGACGCGGAGGCGGCGGGGCGGGACCGAGAGGGGAGGCACGGGGAGGAACTGCGAGTTCGCATGTGTTGTGGCGAAACTGGAAGAATTCCTCTGCGACGTGGTATGGGTGGTCACGAAGCTTCTATTGTTTGTCGCAATGGGGAGAAGAAACGTGTGGGAATCAAGTGTCTGTTGACGATTTAACTCGTTCACTGCTAAGCGTGTTCACGCCGTTATACACCACAGAATTTCACCGCTCTTTCTTACACTATCCCTTGGTGCCGAAGATGCACTCTCAAGGGACGTAATCTAGTAATAACAGCTCGAACTACCAGCTGAGGAATAAGCGAACTAAATGTAGTTCATTTGCTCAGTATAGTGATCTATGATCATGCAAGTTGATAATTCGCGGACATAACTGATATATTAATTATTGCAAGATGATAATTCGTGGAAGTACTATGGAATATTTTCATATTCAGACATGGCATCCCATGAGACATTAAGATCTCGTACGAGAAAAAGCAAACAAAACAAATCTCGTTATCGTTACGAGACCATATGGTCTCAAAATAAGAAGAAATTAACTCTCTTTGGGAGTCCATAAGGCCTCATATGACAGCCTACGAATTATCCTAAGATATTATTCTCAGATTTTGTAAGTGTTCCTGATAGCGTTTTAATCTAGAAATTAAACATTGCGACTTCTATGGACATTTCGTGAGTGTTATTTAGCCATATTTCTCGTTTCATTTATTGCTACATTTACAGCTTAATTGTATGTTCAGACAAATACATTTCAATCCCAATGCGTAAAATAAAATGTGACATTATGTCAACATTTTGAGTATTGCATTTTTTGCTTTTCTCTGCAGGGTTTTTTTTCAATTTAGATACTGATAGATGATAGTTA